ATATAATATAATATATATATATATATATATATATATATATATTAGCCGTAATTATCTCGTTATAATTTTCAATATTTATTTTATATTATTTACTAATGTTAAATTCTATTGTGCTTTGATTTCCAAATTGCTTCAATTTTACGAAAGAATCAATGTGACATTTATGATTTTCGTGTCTTTGGCCAGCTTTACTCAAATTATTTAAATCTTCAAAGGCATTCTTATTCCACACAATAATTTTGTTTGAAAATAGTAGGCAAAGCCAACAAAACAATTTTTGCATTTTTATGCATCTGCAAAACCATTTTATGTCTTCATAAATTTTAACGTCAAAATGTCGAACAAATTTTTTTACTGAAGTACAGTCGACCCCCTATAACGCGGTAGATACGTTCCACTTTATAAGCATTTCGCGTTGTAGGAATCCTTAAATATATGAGCCAATCACAGCCTGGCACGTGCGCAGTTTACGGACTACGACTGTTTGAAAGGTTTTCTTCCATAAAATTAATTGATTCTACAGTAATTTGACTCAACATTTCCAAAACGCGTATAATTTTTGGGAATAATCCATATAAACTATGCTATAAACAAAAAATTATAAGATTACTTACCGAGTGTTCACCGTTCGACGACGCCATTGCTTAAGCTTGTTTTCGTCGCGGAGCAGCACACCAAACGGCGGGCGCGTTTTCTGATAAGTTATTTTTCTGCGAAAAATTCGTTGAACTGTGGACACATCATTAACAGAAATAATTTTTATGGCCGTTGAATAAGAAATGTTTTTTTCACAAGAAATGTATAAAATTACAGTACTGTATTAGACTTACATTACCTAATTTATATACTGTACAGACGACAGTAAACTCAACTTACCCCTGTAAACTCTCTGTAGCGTGTAAATAGTTCGGCTGCTCGTCCACTATTGGTCCAGATTCGACCAATCCTGTCGCGACACGAGTCGGCGATGACGTTTTACCGCATTTTACGAGTCTCTTAGTGTCTTTATACGAATACGGTCGCAAGTTTTTCGCCGCGATATACGAATCCGCATTATATGAACCCGCATTATAGAGGGATCACTGTATTTATATTTAATTTAGGCATTGGTCTTTCTTTTTTAATAATGTTTTCTTTTTCATTATATGGTCTCGAGCCAAAAATTTTTAAAAATAAATTTTCAATTTTACAATTACATTCTAAATCGCTAGCCACGATATTAGGGCTAAAATTAAAAATAAATTTATTAAAACTTACTTGGTAAAATAAAATGTGTGATAGATATACAATTATACATACCTGGTACAAAATATTCAATTGTATGAATACACTTTAAAAAAAAAAATTATAATTAAATATAGCTTTGTAAAGAAACGTACATAAAAATAATATAAATATTCTTTACTTTTTAAATATTAAAACAATCCACTTTGTTAAAATTGCTCCCTACGAGTGGCTCGTGGATGGAATCAGAGACGATCTTGGTAGGTGTGCAGTGTGCGCATTCATGCCAAATCCCGAGGGTGCCGATACCGGTTAATGTCAAATGCCTCTTTTGTCTCATCACTAGTATATCTCAAAGGACGTGACAGAGTTGTTTTAAATTTTAAACGTTTCTCCCAATAGCTGTAAAAATCTAAATACGTTAAACTTAATCGATTGTCCGTCGTTTGTTTTCTAACTAATTCGTTTTAGGACCAGGTGTCTATGGAAATTTCCAAAATTTACTTTTCAGTCACTCTCATTGAACTGGAAAAATTCCTGTCCTTATTACATCTAATATTACGAAGAAATCAGTCCTGACTGTACTTGGCTAGAGATTGGTTCGGTTACGCTTTTAAGTAAAATTCTGGCTCTTTCAGCAGGGTTTTATTTATGTCCCTAATTCCCTAATCTCTTAATTATTTAACTACTACTTAAGTAGAAATAAGTCGAAACCGGTTACTTTGTACTTGAATATTTGTAGTCTTAAGAAAGAAGTGGAAAGAAATTTTTATGACAACGGAGCCAAAGTAAAAGTTAATTTTTTAACATTGTACAAGAATTGTCCACGTTTTTTACTACATCCCCTTATAGATGAAACATACGAAATCATAATATTACTAGTTTAACATTGAAATCCGTAAGTAATATAAAATGGGAGAGCGGAATAAAAATATCAAATATTTTAATGGATTTTTAAAAACTCTTGTCAACTATACAGAACTATCATAAAAACATACCAATAAATTCCTATCGGTTGGGTTAAGTTATAAATCTACTCATGATTCACATAATTGTGCGAGGGTGGCCAAATATCTAGCAAGCAGGCGGCTAACAGCCCAGATCCGGTCCTTGATAGAATCATTAGAAGTGTTATGGTGTGTAACTTCCAACCAGCTAAACCGGGTGAGGTTGGTGCTGTGTAAAGCGCATGCGCGAATGCGTATAATCTGGCTGCTTGAAAGCTGACCCGCCCCACCGGTTTCGACAATATAGCGCTTTCATTCTGCCACTGATATTCGAATATACAATAGCAATTTTATCGTTTTTTTCACATGTAGTATAGAAATTTGTAATAACATACATAATGCGGTTATAATAAAATATTAATTTTAATTAATTCAAAGTACGTTAAAATGTGAAAATAATCGCGCAATATGTCTTTATATTTTAGAAAATACAAGGAAAGCTACGCTTCCACAGCTTCCAAGGACTGCACGCTACTGGCGGCTGTACAGCCATAAGACTCCATATGAACTACCATCTACTGAAAGAAAGAAAATATTCTAGGTTTATTTCTCTAAAAAATAAGAAACACAGAATAATAAAATAATACGTATTTTGAGATCTCTGCTCTTAATATACAAGGTGATTTAAAACCTCTGCGGTAAAGTGTGCGGCACGATAGATCTCGCAGAGAGAACATTTCGTGTGCATCAACCCGTGTTTCCTGACGCGTCGTTTACAGGTAACACAAAAATAAAAGTAATACCAGTGCCGTAACTAGGCAGGTGCAACAGGTGCACCCGCACAGGGCCCACTTGGAAGAGGGGCCCAAAATGCAAGTATTTGTTTTATTAATTTCCCAAACCTAATTAATTAAGGGGCCTAAATGCAAATTCTTGCACAGGAATGGCTAGTTACGGCACTGGTAATAACATAAATCCTAAGTAATATACGAGCAATTATTGTGTGGGCTGCAATTTTTAATCATATTTTAAAATTTATTTAATTTAAAATATAGGATCTAGATATCATATTATTAGTGTCTTGCCCCTGTATATCATACATTTCCTGACAACAACAGAGTCATATTTTAAAATTTATTTAATTTAAAATATATGATCTAGATATCATATTATTAGTGTCTTGCCCCTGTATATCATACATTTCCTGACAACAACAGAGTCATGCAATCTCTGTTCTGGGAAGAGTTTTCAAATTGAAATCACTTGAATTCCGGTCTATAATGGAAGTTTGTATTCAGTTAAAGTAATTCCTGCCCTTAATTAATTAAGCTTTCCATATCTTGTCTCAACTTTCATCTATCTAACACCATTCTTGAGATTAAGGAAGACAGACAGACATGACATTAGATATTTATAATATGTTTACAATTTTTTCAATTACAGCCCAAAAAGGGAAAGAAATAATAATTTGCAGACTATGCATATGTCTTTCACTATTATCTGTACAAAATGTTACAAAATAATTATGCTTAAAATTACAAGAAAAATATTAAAAAATTTAACAAAATGTTTTCAAGACATTTATCATTCATTACTGTAAATACAAGGTCTGTTCAAAAAGTATCGGACCTTTGGTCGGCAAAAATAAATTTATTGACTTTGAGGTACAAAACCCTAATCCCCTTCAAAGTAGTCTCCTTGGTAATGTATACACTTCTCCCAGCGTTCCTGCCATTGCTGGAAACACTGCTGGAACGCATCTTTTGGAATGGCCATCAGCCGGTGTGTTGCATTCCGCACGATGTCTTCTCTTGACTAAATTCGGGTTCCTTTTAGCGGCATTTTCAGCTTGGGAAATAGCCAAAGGTCANATATATATATATAAATATAAAAACTGCAAAGTATGAAAGTTTAGCAACACCAAATTTATTTGTCTTTACTTTCAAGAGAAATTCAGCAATTAATACATTTCTGTTAAATAAACATAACTACAATTTATTAAAGAAATATAACTGAGTTTCAAGATTTCAAACAATATTTCTTGTGATCAGAAGTATATTAAATTATTTTAATTCCCAGAAAGAAAATGAGTTTTGTGGACGGTACTCACCATGTAACAATATTAAACAAAAATTTACAATTTTTACAAATCAGAAATGACTATCAAGCAATGAATATAAAAAAATAAATGACTAGTGTGACAAATTGAAAACTTTATGAATCATTTAAAATTAGAGATTCAAAAAAGAAACAATATCTTCTTGAAAAATATGAATTTGTATGCTTAATCATCACCATCATCTCCAATTTGTTTTCTTCTTTAAATCACCATCATCATCTCAGATTTTGATTTGCATGGAAAACAGATTTGAGTTGAACCATATTGCTCACTGTAAATTTTTGGTGGTGCACATTGTCATATGTAGGTGTTCATTTAATATCAATATTATTCCAATCAAGTGCAAAGAGAATTAAAAGAATCTGGCAGAAAATGGATATTAAAATTTTTATATGATCATTTATAAGTTTAAGTTTGTCTATAGTAGAAAATGTCTCAATTTTTTCTTCATACCTATTTTCACAATAAGACTTATCCAAAGAGAAAAAATGTTATTTTGATGTACCACATACGAAAAAGATTTATAGTAGACGACTAGAAAATTGAAATGTAAACAGAATGTTTGTAAACATATGGACGGAGTTACATATGGCAAAATAAAAATAAAAAAAAAATAATGATAATTTTACTTCAGGCAATTAAAAAAACAAATTAAAAATTTTCAATCCCCTCTTCTGACTTTTCACTTATCTTTGGCAATATTTGAATGTGACATTTAAGGCAACAATGGAATTTGCCAAATGACATACAATTTGTTGATATTAGGGCTCAAGTCTAGTTTATAGCAAAATCTTCTGAATTACATAATGTAGAATTTTTATGCATTTTTCATCTGGACTACTTCGTGAACCATGCTCGTCGTATTATCTTTTTGCATATTTTCATTTTCTAAACGCTCTTCAACTTTTTGGAAGAACTTATCTTCATTGCTAGCAACATAACAGTTAGTGTAATCAAACATAATCCCCAATATCACATTCAGTGCAGACATATCGTATCTGTGACAACCAGAATATCTGTAGAGTGGCTTTTTATCAAATCGACATCCAGAACTCTGAGCTCCAATAGGAGCTATACAATCAGGTGTCAAGGCACACTGCACCCAAGGGAGCATCAAATGCTGATGGATAAGTCCGGTATTATAGAGTAATATGTGACTGGGTTCCACCATGCGATGAAAATAAAAATTATCTTGTCTAGTTTGAAAATAATCAAACATTTTAGGATGAGTTAGAGTTGATGTTGGTTGATCAATGCTCCAAGAAACAAGTCCTTCCTTTTGAGCCTTCTGTAACACACCATCAATTTGACTGGAAATAATTTTGAAGTTAACATCCATCCATATAACTGCACCTGCTTGATCTAAAACTTCCTGCATGAAAAAAATATAAAATTATTAAGTATCTTGAAATTATACCAGTGATTATCTATTTACAAAATATTTCAAGTAAAATATCAATAATACAGGAAAAGAGGCTGATTTAAATTCAGTTACGAAGCAACTACAAGTAACCAAAGAATACCTTCTAGAATGTAGAACTTATAAGGGTTTTAAAAAATTTTGACTGATGCTGTTGAAATTGCAAAAGATCTGGAGATTCAACCGAATTTTAAAATACAAAGAAACAAAGAGAAAACAAAGTCGACAGTTCGAACATGAATGTCAAGTTTCTCAGCAGAAATTCAAAATACAATTTTACTATTGTGTATTGGATATGGCTTTAGTCAATTGAAGAGAGGTTCGAACAACTACACAGCATAACATTCTATTAGGATTTCTTTATTATATACTGTATATAATAGCACTAAAAAACAACTGCTAATGCACTAAACGATTGCAAAAATCTTGAAATATTTGGCTCATAATGCTAATAAAGATATCGATGTCAACGATATCTGCAGTGAACTTCAAGCTTTATCGCTCTGCGGAACCCGGGATCGATCCGGACGGGTCGAAAAAATCTCCATGAATTTTTCGGGAGTGGTCCGACCAGATATGTTGGCCCCCGTCTCTCATCACCCAGCCGCCCCATTGTGGGCCTGGCCAAACCGATAATGGGCTTTCTAAAAGAGGCCTTCTTAGTGCCCACAGGGCGGAAAGGAGTTTAAAAAAAAATAAAAACCCTTTCTTCCCTATAAATGGTTTTAAAATGGTTGTTTATTTTGACAACTGCGAACTTATGTAAGAAGGAATATAGATTTTTATCTTTTTTAATTCTTTTCACTTTTGGCACTAAGTTCTCTATTTTTGTGTTTATCATGATTTGGACTAGGCTCATAATGGTGGCCGCACGACACTGGAAGAAGGTACAATGCAGTACATTTCGGGTCATCCGCAGTAAAGATGTCAGCTTTCCGCTCCGAGACACGAATTCGAATCCAGATCAAGAACCCGAGGAATTTTTTATGGATGACCTGTCCCCATTCTTTATCGTCNGGCAAAAAATCGGATCTGTGGAAATGAGCTCTTTGAAGGAGCAGTGTTGTTCTGTGAAATTCTGTGTAAAACTCAGGAAGTTTCCATGAAGAATTTCCATCAAGAATTTCCATGAAGAATTTCCTGAGTTTTACACAGAATTTCACAGAACAACACTGCTCCTTCAAAGAGCTCATTTCCACAGATCATTTCCAAAAAAGCCTGACAAGTTTGCTCAAATGTTAAGGTGATGTTGACTGTTTTTTTTCAATACAAAGGGAGTTGTGCATCACGAATACCTACCTACAGGCCAGACAGTCAACACAGAGTACTATCTAGAGGTTATGAAATGCCTAAGAGATAGAATCAGGCAAAAATGGCCCAAACTTTAGAGGAGCTGTGAGTGGTTTTTTCACCATGACAATGTGCCGGCTCATTCATTCCTCAGAATTTGTGAGTTTTTGGCCAAAAAACAACACCATTGTGTTTCCCCACCCACACCTAATCACCTAACATGGCCCCAAGCAACTTTTTCCTGTTCCCCAAACTAAAAAAAACCCTCTAAAAAAAAAAAAAGATTTGCCACCATCCTTGAGATAAAGAAAAATTCGAAGGAGGAGCTTATAAGCATTCCAGAAGAAGTGTTCCAGGACTGTTTCAAAAAGTGGAAACACTGTTCGGATAAGTGTATATGTTGGGGAGGAGACTACTTTGAAGCACCCCTGATCAATAAATTGTAAGTGAAGTATTTTTTTTGTAATAAATAAAGTTCAGGAACTTTTTGAACAGATCTTGTATTTACAGCATTGGAAATATGAAATTATGGACTATGTTAAAGAAAGAAATGCCAATAAGTAGCTTCTCTGGAAAATTTGATAACTACAATAGAAACTGTACTGAGTATCATTTCCCAGCCATGTTGGATCAACATTCTGCTCAATCAAGCTAGAATTGACACATTATGATATTTGGAGATCCTTCACACTGGTGAAGCAATGATGATACTTGAATAGATCTTTCATATCTTTCAAAATTAAAACCATCAAAAACTGTCATGCAAAGCTGATGACCACTTGCTCAGTTGATGAGAAATCAAGTTTAGGCAAGTCATTCATATAACATACTGTGGGTAATATGGAGATGATGCAGACCTTTCAGAAAGGACCCTAGTTTCAGTTCAGAAAAGTTCCTGAACTGACAGACGCAAGTCTGTCTATCAGTTCAGGAACTTTTCTGAACTGATACACAGACTTGTAGAACAGTCACATGAGCTGCCTGGTAAACAGACGTAAGTCTGTCTATCAGGCAGCTCATGTGACTGGACTGACAAGTTATACAGTGCACAGTGTTTTGAAAAAGACTTGCAGTTTTATCTCTGAAACTACATTTTGTCATGCAGATGAGAACTATAAACCATTGGACAAATGAGTTTGGAGAGATCATGTTTGACTGGAGTTATTCAGTATTTCAGAATATCTTATGGAGTGACTAAACTGTGTTTTGTGTTAGCAGCTAAGACAACAGAAATAAATGTCATTATTGGTCCAAACTGAATCCAAATTCACAGCAGAGAAGGCTCAAAACCAGCCTAAAGTCACAGTATAAACTGGTACCACATTGATAAGTTCTTGGGTATTTTATTTCATTGCAGAGCACTGATTTGATATACTGGAGTATAGGGTATGGCCTTTGACTTTGCAATGAGACAACATTGAAGTTCTTCACATCATGCAAATTGGTGCTCTGACACATTTGCCCAACAGGTGTGCATGTGGCTTAATAAAAGATTCCCAGGAATGTTGATTTGCATAAAAATGCTCTATGAGTAGCCAGCTAAAGGTTCAGATGTAATTCCCCGTGACAACAACTTTTGGGAATGATGAACTAAAGAGAAGGTGTATTATATAATCCAAGTACTGTGGACCAACTGGAGGAAAGAATCCAGGTGTTACAATATATTTCACCTCTATTCCTGCAGACAGCCATTACTGTAGTACAGTGGAACCCCGGTTAACGAACGTAATCTGTTCCATGAGTCCGTTCGTTAAGCGAATTGTTCGTTAACCGAAGCAATTTTTCCCATAGAAATTAATGCAAATACAATTAATCTGTTCTAGCCGTCAGTATTTTTGTAATTTTATTTGTAAAATGGGTTTTCTTTAATGAAAATATAGGAAAACGTGCTCATAAACAGTCGATCTAAGTTAAATTTTCGGAAAAGGGGAAAGATTTGACGGGTATAAAAACATCACATACGATCGTTAAAGTTCTAAAATGACAGATAGCAGAAACAATAGGCTAAATTATGAGCGAAAGGCTTATAGGTTTATCAACAATCTCTGATCAGAGTCGACGAACAGGTGTCAAATAAACGCCTCGGAACAAACCTTTCTCGTGACCTGATCTGGTTTCGGTTTTCACCTGGAGACAAAGAAGAAAACAATCGGGAAGCGAGGAATGGGACGCAGGACTAATCGTAAGGTGAGATTCAAGGAAAAAATACTATAAAAACCCCGAATCTCAAGGTCAAAACGCAGTTTTCCTAAAAATTCTATGGCGATTAATCTGTGTCGTCTTCATCTGGATTAAGCCTGAAGTCGTGCCCGCTAAAATTTGTGTTGTGTCTCACGGACCGCTCCAGTCGTTGCAGCTCTGTCACCTACCATCGCTTCTGTGACCAAGCGAACCCATCTCGTCTGCTCTGGGGCTACGACTGATCAGCTTGCACTATCGTAGGACCAGCGATACGCCACTCCTCAGTGCCGAGAGAAAATACTGTAGATAAGCCATTTCCAACTATCTCAAATATGTAAGCATCTTCCCGTTCTAATAAATGATATTTTATATATATTTATATTTATGATATATATTTTCACTATAAAATACTTGTCATCTTTGTCTCCTCCACCATCACCGACGTACGAATGGACCGTAGACCATCACAGACACACGATTAACTGATTTTCTCTAAAAGTCGGCAAGCTTACAAATTTGACACAAAAAGCCGTTAAGTTCGTTATCCGAGACAAAATTTTTGCAAAATAATAGTTCGTTAACCGATTTGGTCGTTAACCGGGGTTCCACTGTACATGCATGTTTGAAGAAGATAGTGGAAAATGCAGGAGCATATGTTGTAATTTAATTTCATGTTATTCCCCTAAAATACTCTCACTGTTTATTCTTGCTTTATTTAATTAGGTTAGAGTTTAAGGATTTTAGAGCAATAAAAAAATGACTAGCTACTTATCAGATACCCTATATAAAGAAGTAAAACTGGTTACTTTTTTAAAAAAATGTAAGTTTTTTTAATAACAACTATAAATTATACTCATACTATATACAGTAAGACCCCACATAATGCAGGGAATGCATTCCTAGCCAACAAAGCGCTAAGCGAAACACTGTTAAATGAGGTCATTTTAACAGAGTAAATAGGGATAGGGGAACACACAACCAAAAATAAACAAATTTTACTTTAATTTTAAGTTATTTTTGTATTAATTTGTATAATAATATATGTTAAGTAACAAACATATGCACACAGAAATGTAAAGTTCATTTTTTGTGACGAAGGTCCTGACTTTTCTGAAATTCTTGTTCTTTTGCAATAAAGTCGTGAAGTTTCATTTGTCGTTTTTTTCTTTCCTTAAGCAAATGTTGGTAGCAGAAGATTGCATCCAAAACACCTTGCTTTGCTTTTGCATTCCTTTCAAAATCTGGATCATTTGCTACAATTTGATCAACGATTTCGGTTATCTTATCAAACTTTTACTAAGGAAATCTGTAGCGAAATTTTTTGGGTTCTTCATTTTCAGAATTCTATTTTCCAGTTCCACATGAATTCCATGTTCTGCCAGTTCTTGAAGGTCGTCATTGGTAAGGTTCTCACAAGAAACCTGTTGTAACTCCTCAATATCCTGCTCGTTTATCTCCTAGTCCTGCTAAATTGATTAGGTTGAGTTTGG